TGACCGTCTCAAAAAAAAAAAAAAAAAAATTAGCTGGGCGTGATGGCATGTGTCTGTAGTCCCAGATACTTGGGAGGCTAAGGCGGGAGGATCACCTGAGCCCAGGTGGTCGAGGCTACAGTGAACTGTGATCCAGCCTGGGTGACAGTGCAAGACACTTTCTCAAGAAAAAAAAGTCTTAGCGAGGCGGTATGACAGACTGATTTACAGTGACAGCAATAAGCACTTGGAAACAGATTGATTAGGTCAGATCCCCAGTTCTGCATCTTACTAGCTCTGTGGTGTCAGGAAAGTTACTGAATCTTCATGTGTCTCAGTTTCCACATTTGAGAAATGGTAATAATAATAGTCCCTATCCTGTGGTTTGGTTATGGTTTGTTTGACCCCACCAAGTGTTGTGTTGAAATTTGATTCTCAGTGTTGAAAGTGGGGCCTGGTGGGAGGTGTTCAGGTCATAGGGGCAGGTCCCTCATGAATGGCTTGGTGCCATTCTTGTGGCAGTTAGTGATTCTCACTCCTCCTCCTCTTCCTCCTCTTCTTCTTCCTCTTCTTCCTTCTCCTCCTCCTCCTCCCAGGTTCAAGTGATTCTCCTGCCTCAGCTTCCTTAGTAGCTGGGATTACAGACACCTGCCACCACACCTGGCTAATTTTTGTATTTTTAGTAGAGATAGGGTTTCACCATGTTGGCCAGGCTGGTCTCGAACTCCTCTTGTGGCAGTTAGTGATTCTCACTCCTCCTCCTCTTCCTCCTCTTCTTCTTCCTCTTCTTCCTTCTCCTCCTCCTCCTCCCAGGTTCAAGTGATTCTCCTGCCTCAGCCTCCCAAGTAGCTGGGACTACAGGTGCGTGCCACCACGCCCGGCTAATTTTTTGTATTTTTTAGTAGAGACGGGGTTTCACCGTGTTAGCCAGGATGGTCTCGATCTCCTGACCTCGTGATCCGCCCGTCTCGGCCTCCCAAAGTGCTGGGATTACAGGCTTGAGCCACCGCGCCCGGCTACTTTTTCTTACTTTTGTTAAATTTGGCCTAAAGCTGCCTCATAAACAATGAACTGTATCCTAATTTAATTAAGCATGTCAACATTTCACTAATGGAATATAAAAGTAAAATTAAAAAATAAGAAAATATGACAAAAAAAAAAACCATGTAAACATTTGGGAAAAAGCCTTCAGGCCTTGTCAGTTCCTAGAATGTATTTATTTTCACCGCGCTGGGGACTCCATTTCCAGTATTAAGGTCCATTTTCAGAAGGTGGGTTTGGTGAGTGTGAAAAAAGGGGGTGGGGGAGTAATCGTACAAACAATTGTGTCCAGGCCAGGTTCCTAGGACCTGAGGGACCCCTCCGTATGGCAGAGGCACCCGACATCCGTAACTGCTGTGCACCCTGCGAATGACTTTATGGTCTAAGAAGAACGTGTGTTCAGAGCCCCACCTAAGGAATCAGGAGTGGCAATATCCTGGTAGGATGCCAGCCTATGAAACCCCGAGTCTAGAGGTCAAGCTGGGCACTTAGCTTCTTTCTTTTTTTTTTGAGACGGAGTTTCACTCCTGTTGCCCAGGCTGGAGTACAATGGTGTGATCTTGGCTCACTTCAACCTCCACCTCCCAGGTTCAGGCGATTTTCCTGCCTCAGCCTTTCCAAATAGTTGGGATTACAGGTGCCTGCCACCACACCTGGCTAATTTGGTATTTTTAGTAGAGATGGGGTTTCTCCATGTTGGTCAGGCTGGTCTCGAACTCCCAACCTCAGGTGATCTGCCCGCTTCGGCCTCCCAAAGTGCTGGGACTACAGGCGTGAGCCACCGTGCCCGGCCAAGGCACTTGATTTCTTAGGTCACTCACTTGGCCCTCTTCCAAGTTATACTTTCTTTCTTTCCTTCCTGTTCTAAAGTTTTTTAATAATTTTTTTTTTCTGAGATGGCACCTCACTCTGTAGCCCAGGCTGCAGTGCAGTGGCATGATCTCAGCTCACTGCAACCTCTGCCTCCCAGGTTCAAGCATTTCTCCTGCCTCAGTCTCCCGAATAGTTTGGACTACAGGTGCCCGCCACCCGGCTAATTTTTGTATTTTTAGTAGAGATGGGGTTTCTCCACGTTGGCCAGGTTGGTCTCAAACTCCTGACCTCAAGTAATCCTCCCGCCTTGACCTCCCAAAGTGCTGGGGTTACAGGTTTGAGCCACTGCACCTGACCTGCTTTTTTTTTTTTTTTTTTAGACTGAGTGTTGCTCTGTCGCCAGGCTGGAGTGCAGTGGTGTGATCTCGGCTGACTGCAACCTCTGCCTCCTGGGTTCAGTAGATTCTCCTGCCTCAGCCTCCTGAGTAGCTGGGACTACAGGCGCATGCCACCATGCCCAGCTAATTTTCAGTAGAGACGGGGTTTCATCATATTGGCCAGGCTGGTCTCAAACCCCTGACCTCGTGATTCTCCCACCTCTGCCTCCCAAAGTGCTGGGATTACAGGCTTGAGCCACAGCGCCCAGCGCTGGCCTGCTTTTTAATAAACTTTTACTACTGCTCTGCAACTGGCCTTCCTCTGGCTTTCTGCCTTATACCCTTCAGTGCAACTCTTTCTTCTGAGGAGGCGAGAATTGAGGTTGCTGCTGATGTGTAGGGACTCACCACCCGGAACTCCACCAGTAACAGGATGCTAGTTGAAAATGTTATGTAAGCTGCATGCTTTTTACAAATCGTAGTGGTTCTCATGTCCAGCAATGACCACTGAACCGTCCCTGTATGAAAGTACCCTCCATAAACCTATGTCTCCTTTGCTGTCTCCAGATCTCCTCCTCTACCTCTCCCACACGGTGCCTTCCCTACTGGAGTAAAGTGGGGTCCCGCAGAGCACCCTTTCCCTGCAATTTTTTTTTTTTTTTTTTTTTTTGGAGACAGAGTCTTGCTCCATTGCCCAGGCTGGAGTGCAGTGGTGTGATCTTGGCTCACTGCAGCCTTTGCTTCCCGGGTTCAAGCGATTCTCCTACCTCGACTTTCCGAGTAGCTGGGATTACAGGTGCGCGTCATCACGCCCCGCTAATTTTTTTTTTTTTTTTTTAATTTTTACAAAATAGGGACGCGGTTTCACTGTCTGTTGGCCAGGCTGGTCTCGAACTCCTGGCCCCAAGTGATCTGCCACCCCCCCTCGCCCCCCACCTCGCCCAAAGTTTTGGGAACACTTTGGGTTCCCAAAGTGCAGGGATTACTGCACCTGGCCTCTCTCCCTGCATCTTTATGTGCCTGCAACACCAAGAGGGAGCTCTTGGCCCCTGGGTTAAGGTCAGGGCTCCAGAATCCCAGGGTCAAGGCTATGGCCGCATCCCAAGGACGGGCATCCCTGCAAGAGGCTGCATCACACAGGCATGGAAGAAGCTCCCATGGGGCCAGCTCAAATTCCTGCTGGGGAAAGCAAGTGGAGGTGCTCCTTGACGAAACAGGGGGATCCCCACCGATCTCAGGGGTTCTGTGCTGGCCTGCGACCCTGGATCGTCCAGCCTGGGCCGGGGTGGGGAGCAGACCTCGCCCTTCTTGGCTGGGGCTGAGGGTGAGGGTCCGTTTCCCCAAAGGCCTAGCCTGGGGTTCCAGCCACTGGGCAGCTCCCGGCCCCGCCCCGCCCCGCCCCTCCAGGCCTGGCACTCGTCCTGAACCATGATGGCGCGGACGGCTTCAGGCGCGTCACGCCACCGGCGCGTCACGCGAGCCGCCCTACGGGCACCTCCCGCGCTTTTCTTAGCCCAGCAGACAGTGACGGAGAGGGGAGCGGGGGAGTAGGCGAGCGGAAAGCATGGCCCGGGGCTTGGCGGTGGCCTGGGCGGTGCTTGGGCCGCTGTTGTGGGGCTGCGCGCTGGCGCTGCAGGGCGGGATGCTGTACCCCCGGGAGAGCCCGTCGCGGGAGCGCAAGGAGCTGGACGGCCTTTGGAGCTTCCGCGCCGACTTCTCCGACAACCGACGCCGGGGCTTTGAGGAGCAGTGGTACCGGCGGCCGCTGCGGGAGGTGCGATCTCGGGACAGGGCCGGGAGGCGTCTGGAAGCCCGGCGGTGGGAGTGGGGGATCCCGGGTCCCCGCAGGCTCCTTCCCCTGGGCTTCCCGGAGCTGGGAGCCCGCAGGAGGTTAAAGGTCAACGGGCTTAGGGGGCGCGGGGTTGGGGGACGGGGGAACTGGGGCACTCTGGAGGGCCGGGGTGGAGGAGGCAGGAGGAGGAGAAAAGACTCCTGCCGAACCCGTTCCTGAGGCGAAGGCTGAGCCTGTGCAGTGTCCTTCCTTTTAATATTTATTTTTTATTAAAAAAAAAGTTTTTTGAGACTGGGTTTGCACCTGTCTCCCAGGCTGGAGGAGAGTGGCGGCATCCTAACTTCTGAGCTCACTCGATTCTCCCCTCCCGCAGTTTAGCTGGGGCCACCACGCCTGGCTAAAAAGCAAAACAAAACAAAACAAAACAAAAAATCTTACCCGGGCTCAGTGGCTCACACCTGTAATCCCAGCACTTTGGGAGGCGGAGGCGGGCGAATCACCTGAGGCCAGGAGTTTGAGACCAGGCTGGCCAACATAACATGGTGAAACTTCGTCTCTACTAAAAATATAAAAATTAACCAAGTGTGGTGGTTCACGCCTGTAATCCCTGGTACTTGGGAGGCTGAGTCAGGAGAATTGCTTGAACCCAGGAGGTAGAGGTTGCAGTGAGCTGAGATCATGCCACTGCACTCCAGCCTGGGCGACACAGTGAGACTTTTTTTTTTTTTTTTTTTTTTTTTTAAAGATATAGGGTCTCACTAGTTACCCAGGATGGTCTCGAACTCCTGGCCTCAAGCCATCTTCCCACGTTGACCTCCCAAAGTGCTGATTACAGGCATGAACCACCCACACATTCCCCTGGCACAGCAGCATGCACTGCACAGAGCTGGGCCCAGGGATTGGGAGGAGGGGACAGTTTAGACGTCCTGAGGTCAGCTTTCTGGTTTTTAAGGTTCAGATAGAGGACAGGACGTGACATCAGGCCAAGGACGCCACCCGTGTTCCCCTCCTGACTCGGATGTGGTCAGCAGAGAAGTGGAACCGGGTGAGGTCTGGGCCGCTTTTGCCTGGTCTACATCCTCTTTTTCCGACTTTGCATCATTCAGTACAGGAGGGAGAGAGGAGGGGGCTGGGTGCCAGTGTGGGCCCCACTCACAGTGTCCTAAGCAAAGCTCCCCACATCCCCCCAACCAGCCTTCCTCCCTATGACATGCAATGGGCCATCTGCCTTAGTCATGGGTCTGAACCTTCTTGCCTCTGGCTGGGATGTGGCCCTGGGCTGGCTCCTGTCTTGGGAGCTATTGGGCCCCATCCACTCTGAGGAGGAACTCCTGGCTCCCCTGGCCCAGGTGCACGAACCGCCCTGGCAATTGACCTGTTATCAGCAAGTTATCTGTCTGTTCCGCCAAGAGTCCTCACAATGTGTCAGGGCTTTTGCACTAAGCCTGGGACACAGCTGTGCAGCACACTGGTCCCGGATCCCTTTGGGGGCCTAGGAGCTGAGACTGGCCCTTCTTTCCACAGTCGGGCCCCACCCTGGACATGCCGGTTCCCTCCAGCTTCAACGACATCAGCCAGGACTGGCGTCTGCGGCATTTTGTTGGCTGGGTGTGGTATGAACGGGAGGTGATCCTGCCAGAGCGATGGACCCAGGACCTGAGCACAAGAGTGGTGCTGAGGATTGGCAGTGCCCACGCCTATGCCATCGTGGTCAGTGCGGCCAGGAGCAGGCAGGGCGGGTGGGTGGGCACGGCTGCTGACTAGCATGGGACCCCCAGCTGCCACCCACAGCCTGTCTGCCGGGGTGGGATGGTGGGGGGCCCTGCCTTGCCTTGGGTGCTGTGCCCTGTGTAGGGGAATAGGTGGCCTGATCTACCCCATTGGGATGCCATTCTTCCTGTCTAGCGGGCAGGCCCCAGAGCCCCATACTATTGGATATGTGAGGGAGTGCCCGACAGCTGGGCACCTCCTCATGCCCTGACCTGCCACCCCCTGCCCATGTCTCCTGTGTCTGCAGTGGGTGAATGGGGTCGACACGCTAGAGCATGAGGGGGGCTACCTGCCCTTTGAAGCCGACATCAGCAACCTGGTCCAGGTGGGGCCCCTGTCCTCCCAGCTCCGCATCACTATCGCCATCAACAACACACTCACCCCCACCACTCTGCCACCAGGGACCATCCAATACCTGACCGACACCTCCAAGTGGGTACCATCCTGCTTCCATTACACGCACCCACCTTCCCGCCCCACCCCGTGGTCTTCCTGCTAGGGACAGGGTGGCCTTTGCAGAGTGGAGGCCCTGGATCTGGGGAGGCTGGGAAGGCATATGAGCTGAGGTCAAGGGACCCAGGGCAAGGGCCCAGCGAACCACAGTCCTCCCACCCTAGGTATCCCAAGGGTTACTTTGTCCAGAATACATACTTTGACTTCTTCAACTACGCGGGACTGCAGCGGTCTGTGCTTCTGTACACGACACCCACCGCCTACATCGATGACATCACCGTCACCACCGGCGTGGAGCACGACAGTGGTGAGGGCTTCTGGTAGGATCCTTCCTCAGCGGGGCCCAGGGTGGCTCTGTTTGTTCCCTGTTTGGAAAGCTCTCCCAGGAAAAAGGTGCTCCCAGCATCTCTAAACCCTCACAGGTTCCCATCCACCTACAAAGCTAAATTCCAGGCTGTCTGAGTGGGCACGGGCTCGCGAAATCACCCGTGTGGTTGACCTCCCTTGGAGAAGAGGGGTCTGGCCTAACGTCACACAGCTCAGGGTGGCAGTCGTGTCCCTTCGCCACTGTGCTGCTCTCACTCCAGCTCCCCTTGCTACAGGTCATGCTCAAGGAACAGGCAGCTTCGGGGGGCCGGGCACGATGGCTCATACCTGTCATCCAGCACTTTGCAAGAAGGCCCTGGTAGGAGGATCTCTTGAGGCCAGTAGTTCAAGACCAGCCTGGGCAACGCAGCAAGGCCATCACCACAAAAAATTAAAAAATTAGCCAGGCATGGTGATGCATGCCAGTAGTCCCAGCTGCTGAGGCAGGAGAATCACTTCAGCCTGGGTGGTCAAGGGTGCAGTGAGCTATGACTGTGCCACTGCGTTCTGATCTGGGCAACAGAGGGAGACCCTTTCTTTCTTTTTTTTCTTTTTTCTTTTTTTTTTTTTTGAGATGGAGGCTTGCTCTGTCACCAGGCTGGAGGGCAGTGGTGTGATCTCGGCTCACTGCAATCTCTGCCTCCTGGGTTCAAGCAATTCTCCTGCCTCAGCCTCCCAAGTAGCTGGGATTACAGGCACCTGCCACTACACCCGGCTAATTTTTGTATTTTTTTTTAGTAGAGATGGGGTTTTACTATGTTGGTCTGACTGGTCTTGAACTCCTAACCTAAGGTGATCCACCCTCCTCGGCCTGCCAAAATGCAAAGGTTACAGGCGTGAGCCCCTGCGCCCAGCTGGGGGATACCCTGTTTTTTTTTTTTGTTTTTTTTTTTTGAGATGGAGTCGCTGTCTGTTGTCCAGGCTGGAGTGCAGTGGTATGGTCTTGGCTCACTGTAACCTCCGCCTCGCAGGTTCAAGCGATTCTCCTGCCTCAGCCTCCTGAACAGCTGGGATTACAGGCGTATGCCACCATGCCCAGCTAATTTTTGTATTTTTAGTAGAGATGGGGTTTCAGCATGTTGGCCAGGCTGGTTCAACTCCTGACTTCGGGATCCACCCACCTCAGTCTCCCAAAATGCTGGGATTACAGGCATGAGCCACTGGAATATCCTGTATTTATGAAAAATTTTTGTTTTAAGTTTTTTTCTTTTTTAAAATGTACATTTTTCAGGTCGGGCGCCATGGCTCACGCCTGTAATCCCAACACTTTGGGAGGCCAAGGCAGTCGGATCACGAGATCAGGAGCTCAAGACCATCCTGGCTAACACGGTGAAACTCCGTCTCTACTAAAAATACAAAAAATTAGCCAGGCATGCTGGCGGGCGCCTGTAGTCCCAGCTACTCGGGAGGCTGAGGCTGGAGAATGGCGTGAACCCAGGAGGCGGAGCTCGCAGTGAGCCAAGATCACATCACTGCACTCCAGCCTGGGTGACAGAGACTCCATGTCAAAAAAATAAATTAAAAAAAAACTTATCTTTTTCTTTTCCTGCTATGAGGCCTTGCACTGTCGCCCAGGCTGGAGTGCAGTGGCAAGATTATTGACAGCTGTCATAAGCCTGCAGTTCTAAGTTTAAAAGAATTTAGGTGCCGTGCGCGGTGGCTCAGGCCTGTAATCCCAGCACTTTGGGAGGCCGAGGCGGGCGGATCACGAGGTCAGGAGATCGAGACCATCCTGGCTAACACAGTGAAACCCTGTCTCTACTAAAAATACAAAAAAAATTAGCTGGGTGTGGTGGTGGGTGCCTGTAGTCCCAGCTACTCTGGAGGCTGAGGCAGGAGAATGGCTTGAACCTGGGAGGGGGAGCTTGCAGTGAGCCGAGATTGCACCACTGCACTCCAGCCTGAGCGACAGAGCAAGACTCCGTCTCAAAAAAAAAAAGAAAAAAAAATTTAGGCTGGGTGTGGTGGCTAATGCTTGTCATCCCAGCACTTTGGGAATCCAAGGTGGGTGGATCGCTTAAACTGAAAAGTTTCAGACCAGCCTGGGCAACATAGTGAGACCCTGTCTGAGAAAAAATAAAATAAATGAATAAAAAAGAATTGAAAAAAGAATCACACAGCAAACGCAATGCAACATAGAGCAATTTATTGCCCAGGAAAAGTATTTTGGAAGTAAAGTTTAGAATAGCCTGGGTGCAGTGGTTCATGCCTATAATACCAGCACTTTTGGAGGCCGAGGCGGGTGGATCACTTGAGTTCAGAAGTTCAAACCAGCCTACCCAACGTTAGCTGGGCATTGTGGTGTAAGCCTGCAATCCCAACGACTCAGGAGGTTGAGATGGGAGAGTTGCTTCAACCTGGGAGGTGGAGGTTGCAGTGAGCTGAGATTGCAACACTCCACTCCAGCCTGGGTGACAAAGCAACACCCCAACTCAAAAAAAATGATGAAGTGCAAAATACACGGTTCACCCTGAGACACAGAATTCAGGACAGGCTGCTCGTAAGGATGAGACAGCGCCGATTATTACTGGGGAAACTCCCTTTCTGGGAGTCTTCCATGATGAATTCCTAAGGAGCTGGGAAGAGGTGTTACTGTAAGCACGTTCTGGGCTGTCCTCTGGGTGCTGCACATGCGCAGTAGCTGTACATGCGTGTTCACACGTCACGTGTCTCAACGCCGTGGCTGGCATGTCCAAAGGACACAGTCACTTCTTGACTACCTACCCTGCCTCAAGATCATAGCTCACTGCAGCCCCGAACTCCTGGCTCAAGCAGTCCTCCCACTTCAGCCTCCCAAGTAGCTGGGGCTGCTGGGGCTGCAAGCACGCACCAGCACGCCCGGCTGATTGTTTGTGTTTTTAGGGAAGAAGTGGTTTCCCTGTGTTACCCAGGCTGGTCTTGAACTCCTGGGCTCAAGCGATCCTCCCACCTCAGCCTCCTCAAGTGTTGGGATTACAGGTCTGACCACTGTGCCTGGCCGAAAAAATCTTTTTTTAAATTAAAAAAAGCATTGGGTGCGGTGGCTCACACCTGTAATCCCAGCACTTTGGGAGGCCAAGGCGGGTGGATCACCTAAGGTCAGGGGTTCTAGAGCAGCCTGGCCAATATGGCAAAACCCCATCTCTACTAAAAAATATAAAAATTCACCGAGCATGGTGGTGCACGTCTATAATCCTAGGTACTTGGGAGGCTGAGGCAGGAGAATCACCTGAACCCTGGAGGTAGAGGTTGCAGTGAGCCGAGATCATGCCACTGCACTCCAGCCTGGGGAACAGAGTGAGACTCCGTTTCAAGAAAAAAAAAAGGCAACAGAAACAAATGGCTTCCTGGCAGCGGTGGCTGCAGGGCACTCCCTTTTGTGTGACTCAGGTCATGTCCCTCCCACAGCACTGGTCTTTCTCGTTTCTCGCAGGGCTGGTGAATTACCAGATCTCTGTCAAGGGCAGTAACCTGTTTGAGTTGGAAGTGCGTCTTCTGGATGCAGAAAACAAACTCGTGGCGAATGGGACAGGAACCCAGGGCCAACTGAAGGTGCCGGGTGCCAGGCTCTGGTGGCCATACCTGATGCACGAACGCCCCGCCTATCTGTACTCGTTGGAGGTAATGGTGGTTTGGGGCTTGCCCAAGGGAGGTCTTTTGCCCGCATCTGGTGACCTTGGCTTCAGCAGGAGCCCAGGACAGGTGAACGGGCAGCGTGGTCCTCTGAGCTTTCTGATGTTTCTCACCCTTGGTGGGAGGCCCAGTTTTTTTTGTTGTTGTTGTTTTGTTTTTGAGATGGTCTCACTCTGTCACCCCAGCTGGAGTGCAGTGGCCTGATCACAGCTCACTGCAGCCTTGAGCTCTCAGCCTGCAGCAATCCTCCTACCTTGGCCTCCTGAGTAGCTGGGACTACAGGCACATGCCGCCATGCCTGGCTAATTAAAGAAAAAAAATTGTAAGCTGGGCACATTGGCTCATGCCTGCAATCCCAGCATTTTGGGAGGCTGAGGTGGGTGGATGGCCTGAGGCCAGGAGTTTGAGACCAGCCTGGCCAATATGGTGAAACCCCATCTCTACTAAGAATATGACAATTTGCTGGGCATGGTGGTGCACACCTGTAATTCCAGCTACTCGGGAGGCTGAGGCAGGAGAGTTGCTTGAACTCAGGAGGCAGAGGTTGCAGTGAGCTGAGATCACACCACTGCAGTCCAGCGTGGGGGACAGAGTGAGACTGTCTCAAAAAAGTTTTTTTTTTATAGAGATGAGGTCTCAGGCTGTTGCCAGGCTGGTCTTGAACTCCTGGACTCCAGTGATCCTTCTGCCTTAGCCTCCCAAAATGTGAGAACTCCAGGCATGAGCCTCCTTGTCTGGTCAAGGGGAAGACCCCGTTTTGAAGGGCAGGTCCCAGGTTCAGCCAGGGAAGGGCAGAGCCTCTGATTGCTGCATCTCTGCTTCCAGGCCCAGAGGCGGCTGCTGGGGTGCACGAGGGGCCTTCCTGGCAGAGGGCTTAGGCTGTTGGGGTGCTCACACCTGGTGTTTTGGTTGTTGTAGGTGCGACTGACTGCACAGATGTCGCCGGGGCCTGTGTCTGACTTCTACACACTCCCTGTGGGGATCCGCACTGTGGCTGTCACCGAAAGCCAGTTCCTCATCAATGGGAAACCTTTCTATTTCCACGGTGTCAACAAGCATGAGGATGCGGACGTGCGTTGGGGCTCCTGGATCCTTGGGGCTGCTTCTGGTCACCCTCCACTTTCACCTTCCCTGTGTCCTGCAGTTAAGGGCAGCTCAGGGCAATGAGGCAAATGGCTCCAAATGGAGAGGGGACTTGTGGGGTGGCTCTCCAGGGTCCTGGCTCTCAGAGGAAGTGCAGCTTCGACAGGGACAGGGGTCACACGGCTCTGCTGTCCCGTAGATCCGAGGGAAGGGCTTCGACTGGCCGCTGCTGGTGAAGGACTTCAACCTGCTTCGCTGGCTTGGTGCCAACGCCTTCCGCACCAGCCACTACCCCTATGCCGAGGAAGTGCTGCAGATGTGTGACCGCTATGGGATTGTGGTCATCGATGAGTGTCCTGGCGTGGGCCTGGCACTGCCGTGAGTCCCCGCTGTGCACCTGCTCCGCCTGCCCAGCCCGTGGGCTGCACCATGACCCTCTGTCCCTTCCCTCCTGGCCTGCAGGCAGTTCTTCAACAACGTGTCCCTGCAGAACCACATGCGGGTGATGGAGGAAGTGGTGCGCAGGGACAAGAACCACCCCGCCGTCGTGATGTGGTCTGTGGCCAACGAGCCTGCATCCCACCTAGAATCTGCCGGCTACTACTTGAAGTGAGTGCCCCCTGCCTGCCCTCGCTAGATTGGGGAGGAGACCCTGGCAGGCGGCTGGCTGGGGTGGGCGTGTGCTGTTCGAGATCAGCCTCCCGTCCAGCCCAATGGGAAGGCCGTCTATACCTGGACATTCAGGGACCAAATACCCACCCAAATTTTTTTTTCTTTTTTTTTTTTTCCACTTTTTAAATTTGAGATGGAGTCTCACTGTGTTGCCTAGGCTAGAGTGCGGTGGGGTGATCTCCGCTCACTATAACCTCTGCCTCTCGGGTTCAAGTGATTCTCCTGCCTTAGCCTCCTGAGTAGCTAGGATTACAGGCACCCATGAGCCACTGTGCCTGGCCTGGTTATTTATTTTTTTTTTTGAAACAGGTTCTCAGTCTGGTTGCCCAGGTTGGAGTGCAGTGGTTCAATGTTGGCTCACTGCAGCTTTGACTTCCCAGGCTCCGGTGATCCTCCCGCCTTAGCCTCCCAAGTAGCTGGGATTATAGATGTGTGTCATCGCGACCAGCTAATTTTTTCTTCTTTTTTCTTTTTCTTTTTTTTTTTTGGATACAGAGTCTCCCTCTGTTGCCCAGGCTGAAGTGCAGGGGCATGATCTCAGCTCACTGCGACCTCCGCCTCCCTGGTTCAAGCGATTCTCCAGCCTCAGCCTCCTGAGTAGGTGGGATTACAGGCACGGGCCACCACGCCCAGCTAACTTTTCCTTTTTTTTTTTTTTTTTTTTCCTTGAGATGGAGTCTCACTGTGGCCAGGCTGGAGTGCAGTGGCACAATCTCGGCTCACTGCAGCCTTCACCTCCCAGGTTCAAGTGATTCTCCTGCCTCAGCCTCCTGAGTAGTTAGGACTATAGGCACACACCAACACACCCTGCTAATATTTGTATTTTTAGTAGAGACAGGGTTTCACCATTTTTGCCAGGATGGTTTCCATCTCTTGAACTCGTGATCCACCCACCTCAACCTCCCGAAGTGCTGGGATTACAGGCGTGACCCACCACGCCTGGCCAACTTTTGCATTTTTCAGTAGAGACGGGGTTTCACTGTGTTGGGCCAGGCTGGTCTTGGACTCCTGACCTCAGGAGATCCACTTACCTCGGTCTCTCAAGTGCTGGGATTACAGGTGGGAGCCACCGTGCCCGGCTAATTTTTGTATTTTTAGTAGAGACTGGGTTTCACCATGTTTGCCAGGCTGGCCTGGAACTCCTGGCCTCTAGTGATCCTCCTGCCTCAGCTTCCCAAAGTGCAGGGATTATAGGAGTGAACCACTGCTGGCCCCCTTTTCTTCCTTACAATCGTGCAGTTCTAGCTTAGTGTCCAGAGTAGGTTTTTCACTTGCGGTAGAGGCAGCAGAGGTGGTAGAAATGTTTCTTGACTCATACAGCACACCCCAATTTCATGCAGTGCTTTGGGCTGAGCCAAGTCTGCAGCAGGCAGAAGGTTCTGAGAAGTTGTCGCAGCCTGGGCCATGGACAATTCAGAGCTCAGGCCACAGGGGTGTGCTCAGCAGGACTGGGTGGACAGGACGTTTGTTGCGAAGGGAAGGGGAAGAGTACAGGCTTCTAGGAGCAGGTGTTTGAGGCTTCCAGACAGGCTTCTTTGGGAGGTGGCCAGAGGAGATGCCTGTTTTCTGGGGCAGGATTTGGAGGGAGCCACCCAGGCTGGAGAGGTTCAGCCAGGCTGTCCCAAGACTTTGAAGCATCCCATCTGAGAGCCTGGCTGTTGGAGAGTGTGGGTTTGGAACTTGAGGTAGGGGGTTCTGTTCTGATCTGTGCCAGTCACAGCCTTCAGATGGGTAGAGCAATGATTGGGGAGGGCGTAAAAGAAGAAATGAACCGAGGAAGGAGGAAAACAGGCTTCAACAACAGTCTAGGCTGGGCGTGGTGGCTCACGCCTGTAATCCCAGCACTTTGGGAGGCCGAGGTGGGTGGATTACCAGAGGCCAGAAGTTGGAGACCAGCCTGGCCAATAGATATTGAAACCCCATCTCTACTAAAAGTAAAAAAATTAGCTGGGCGGGGAGGTGGACGCCTGTAATCCCAGCTACTTGGGAGGCTGAGGCAGGAGAATTGCTTGAACCCGGGAAGCAGAGGTTGCAGTGAGCCGAGATGATGTCATTGTACTCCAGCCTGGGCTACAGAGTGAGATTTTGTTTCTCAGAAAAAAAAAGGGCCGGGCGTGATGGCTCACGCCTGTAATCCCAACACTTTGGGAGGCCGAGGCGGGCAGATCACGAGGTCAGGAGTTCAAGAGCAGCCTGACCAACATGATGAAACCCCGTCTCTACTAAAAATACAAAAATTAGCCAGGCATGGTGGTGCGCGGCTGTGATCCCAGCTACTTGGGAGGCTGAGGCAGGAGAATCGCTTGAACCTGGGAGACGGAGGTTGCAGTGAGCCGAGATCAGGCCTCTGCACTCCAGCCTGGGTGATAGAACAAGACCCTGTCTCAAAAAAAAAAAAAGTCTATACTGTGCAGGACACACACCCAACGTAAGTACACAGAACCAGCCAACATAAAATTGCCACTGCCCATGCTGCCTCGACTTTCCATATCCTACAGGCTATTAATACAGACTCCGGCACCCTTTGTGCGCCCTCCCCGAAGCGCGCATGCCTTTGTTTAGTGAGGTGTACCAGGAACCGTTAGCCACACAACAGCTGATGGGCGGGCTGGTTTCACATTCGCTCCCTGGGTCTGCTTCAGTGTCTCTTCAGTGGGTCTTCCTCTACAGCAACTGAGTGCAATATCTATCTCCTTTCAGTTGCCACTCCTACAGGTTCTGGCGGCCAGTCACGATTGATTGTTACAATCGGTGCATCCACGCCCGGAGCGTCTCAAGCCTCGCGGTCGCGCTAGTCCACCAACCACTGCTCCCCTCATAGCCCACGCACACTTTGGTTATCTGTCATTCAAGGAGCCACGACACCTCATTGTCCATTGCGGGCCGCGTCCTACACCCTCCATCCACATACCATGATCCACCTAGGGACAATGACTATCCACAACCACCTGGGGGCTTCTGCCACGCACTAGCCTCTCTGTCGAGCAATCTACTCCCACTCCTGGCAGCAACGACACAACACCCGGCACACCATAATCCACCACGAGCGCGGCGTAAAGACCCACAGCCCTTGCATGGTTCCCACGAACACCCTGAGGTCAGGAAGTTCAACGAGCAGCACTTAGCGCCAAACAGGTGAAACCCCTCCTCACCTACCACAAAATCCACTCGCAACATTAGCTCGGGCATGGTGCGCCGCGCTACTGTAACACCAGCGCAGCGCACACTGGGCGTGTGTCTGAAGCCACAAAACACATCCACACACCCGGGACTGAGTTGCCGTGCATCGAGATCGCGCCACTCATTCCAACCTGGCACAGAGCAGACCTGCACCCCTACGACATCCCAAAACGAGACCACCAAACAACAAAAGCGGAAAAAACCAAACACGCAATGTGCGAAGACATGCCCGCATGTCTTCCCTAACTGAGATGTACTTCTTAAGAGGCAGAGCACCCTCACCTAGTCAGACCCAACCTCCTCTTAGATCAGCTCTCTACCACACACCTACTCGCCCCCCAATGGCTCTGAATTCGTACTCCAATCCTCCATCACCCTTACATCTGCCGCGAGGAAGGACTCCTACACACTTGTGTCCAGTACACAGCGCGCACACGGAGTCCATGGGCTCTCTGCAAAAATGAGGCCTGACCCCGAAACACAGCTCCCTTGAAAACTACAGAAGTGCAATTCGTCGCGAGCCAGAATGTGAGCATATGCTTATTACTGCTAGTCAGAGCACAATACAGGGGCACCCCTGAGACAGTATGTGGCAGATGGCTTCTTGGCGTCCACGGTGCTCAGCAGGGGGACTCAAATCCCTAAGTCCACAGATCCTCGGGCAGTGGACTGAGACTATGCACCAGAGAATGGGGCAAGAAGCCGGCACGGTGGCTCACGCCCTAGAACCCAGCACTTGGAGGCTTACTAGATGCCAGCAATTCAGAACCAGCCTGGGCAACATAGCAAGACTGGTTCTACAACAAATTAAAAATTAGGGCGCAGGTCGCTCACTCGCCTGAATCCCCTACATCTTGGAAGGCCGATGCGGTGGATCATGAGGTCAAAGAGTTGAGACCAGCTCCTGGCCAACGGGAAAGTCTACCTCCTACAAAACAATACAAAAAAACCAGCTGGGCATGTGCACACACCACCTGACCAGTACTCATGGCTAAGCAAAAAATTGTGAACCAGAGGCTAGAGGTTTAGTCGAGCCAAAATCATAACCACTGCTCTCCACGCCTGGGCATCAAGCAAACTCCATGCTTGCGGAAAAAAACTCTTTTTTTAACACTTAGCCTGGCCATGTGCCCCCGGGGCACAGCCTGTGGTCCCAATTGGGAGGAGTGGGGAGACGTCGTAAGCCCAGGAGGCCGAGGGGGCAAGGACCGGACTGCCCACTGCACTTTCAGTCGGGGAACAGCGAGACACCTGACCGCTGAAAACAAACAATGAAGAAATTTTCAAAATGGAAGTGACAAGTGTGGCAGGAAACTGGCTCTGCTATACAATAACATAAACTGGACGGAGAGTCAAGGAACAGCCTCTTAAGAAGCAAACGACCCTTAGGAAGGCGCCGTGGCTCACACCTGTAACCCAGCATGGGAAGGTGCCGAGCGCGGTGATCACCTGAGTTGTATTCCAAAGATCAGCCTGACCAACACATGGAGAATACCCCGTCTCTGTACTGACAAATACAAATAGCCGGAGCATGTGGTGGCAATGCCTGTAACCCAGTTACTCAGGAGGCTGAGCGGGAGGAATTGCCTTGACCCAGAGGTTAAGAGGTGCTAGTGAGCCGCAGATCGCGCCCATTTGCACTCCACGCCCTGGGTAACAGACAAAATTCCATCTTCAAAAATAAATAAAAAAAAAGAGGCGAAAGGCCCTTATACTGATAGAGTACACGCAGGAGGGAGAAGGGAAGAAAGAACCAACAGAGGACGCGTCCCATGCCATCGCTACCCAGCCACATCCAAGT